ACTGGACGAGGCCGCCTGTGGAGCTGATTTACAGTTTCCTTTTGTATCTATGCTTCTTTTTATATTTCTAAGTGTGGTTCTGCTGGAGGTTTCTTCCTGTTCTAAGGGAGTTTTTCCTCTCCACTGTCGCTACAAGCATGCTTAGTGTGAGTCAATGCAATCAGCAGGTTTTCTTTCAATAGAAAACTTTGAATCAGTTTGACTGGATGATCTTGTTGAACTGTAAAGTGTTGTGAACTGGCGTTTTATAAATAAACTGAACAGAAACTGAATTCAGCGTTTTACTTTTATTATCAGTTTCATTAACAGGAAAGCAAAGACAAAACTACCTTGTTTACAACAAATGATAAATAAAGGAATTGCTGCTGGAGCAGGAGAACAAAAACTGCAGCCAACACAAAGAAATAGGAACCTAAAAACCAACCAGCTAAGCACGGGACGTTCAGCAACTTCGTGCGGTTGGTTTATGTGGTACGAGAAGCAGAAGAGTTGTGAACTGTGTGAAGCAGAATGCCCGCTGTTTGCAGGAAGCCAACCTCTAGAAAAGCAGACAGTGACACTGAGCTCAGCGATGCAGTGCAGTTACCTCATGCAGCAGCTGATCCAGAGAGCCGTTGCTCATGAACTCTGTAACTATGCAGAAGAACTCTGGCTCGTTGCAGACGCCAAAAATCTGGATGATGTGGTTGAACCTGGCTTTGTGAAGCACCTCAGCTTCCTTCAGCAGGCAGTTCCTCTCTCTGAAACACAGCAAGAGGCGCAGGTGACCTTTGACCTCAGCCTGTAATTAATAAAAACTAACGAAGGCAATTAGCATTTTCTTAGTCCAAGCAATGATACCCCAAAATAAATAAATAAAAATAACACTGCAACAGACTGGTGACCCCTTATAAATAAATATAATTACTTCACTCTATAGTCAGTCATTATATCTATTTTCAAAATAATTAATCAGATATTAGATAATAATGACTTTATTTCACAATTTAACATCATGGGACAGGAAGTGTTATAAATACCTCGGTGTTCAACTAGACAGTAGACTCAACTGGAGACAAAACTTTGTGTTTTTTTTTATTGAAGGTTATATATTTGTATCATTTATTACATAAATAAATCAAAGTTACATCTATTTATGTCAAATTGATGTATTTCATATGAAAGGGCTAGGACTGTAGATTTAATAAATTATGACTTTAATGGTTGGAAATATTATTTTATTTGTCAAAATAACGACCTTATGTCTAATACTTATGACTTAATTTATTTTATGTATGACTCTGATCATTGCTAATAGCTTTAACTTTATAATTAAGAGATTTAAAGTTGTAATAACAAGAAATAAAGACCCTTTTGTCTATGAAATTAATAATAATGAGATACAAATTATCTCATAAAGATTTTTTATCTCATATTTATGACCGATAGTCAAATATATGCCTTAATTTCTCACAATTGTGATTCAACAAGTTCAAATTAAGACTTTAAATCTCATACTTACAAGAGACTTTTTAACACTTATTTTGTAGTGATCTCTGTAGTATATCGACGGCCAAAATATAAATATGCTAAATAAATAAATAAATACATTTATTATTTCATCTAATACAGAATTCTCTTTATAATTTCATTACTATTTACACCATGACATTTTTAAATGTACAATCAAATGATCAACTGTCCAATTAAATAATTAAAATAGAAGAATTCCACTTTATTGTCATTACATTGTCACAAGTATAAAGCAACAAAATTAACTCTGCATTTCACCGATCTCCTTGGGCAGCAGTGGGCTGCTATTGTGCGGCGCCCGGGGAGCAGTTTGGGACTTCAGGGTCTTGCTCAGGGACCCAGAGTGGCAGACTGTGGCAGTGAGGCTGAAACTCAGAATACTCTGAGTTTCAATTATGAATAAAAAAATACGATTTTATTGAAAATTAATTAAGAAAGAAATATAATCAAGTGATTCTATGTAGTCGGCCTCAGCAGATGGCCGCTCACACCGAGCCTGGTTCTGCTGGAGGTTTCTTCCTGTTAAGAGGGAGTTTTTCCTCTC